ATGTCAATTTTTCACTCTATTTTCTGTCTCATGCAAAAATTTTACAAACGCCATATTGCCATTCAACATCTGAAGCGACATGTTGATATGGTAAATAATAACAATCCTCTCACCTATGTCGAGACAATGCCAAAATTTTATGATTGCCACATTGTTTCTCCTCGCTGTGGCCAAGAAAAAAATAAACGATATCTTGGAAAGATAATTAACATTAATTCTCCCTGCTTGCATTGGCGATCGTCTCAAGCCGAATTTTTTATGATCGCCATGGTCTGGCCGATGTCTAAATATTTGCTTTTCCTCCTATCTCCCTTGGCGAGACATTAATCAACTTGACAAGACCTCCCACATGGCTTTTTCCATGGTTTTACTGTCTTTTGTGAAAAGTATCTTTTTCGTAAATAAAAAAAAATCTTTTTTTAGCATCAATCAGACTATCTTTCAGGATAGCTGTTTTTCGCCTTAAGTATTTCCTATTTTAATTTTTATGGTTAATTAATAAGCCAATTACTTAGCTAAATAGTGTCACATCATTGTTTGGCGAGAGAGATTTCCAGTACTAGCTGCTACTAATGCTACAGCGGGAATTGACGGGGACTGTAGTTTGGAATAAGTGGTGGGATGATTGGAAATCCAAATTTGTGTCATTTGCAGCTGATTATAGTTAGATAAGAAACGCAAACAACATGTGAGTTGATCGGGCGATAGTGTGAAGTAGCCTTAACTAGGACAGAGTTGGCCTCCTTGCTTATCAAGCTCTGGTAGTTAGGGCTAGGTTAAAAAGTATGTCTTCCGAGGCGATAAATATGGCCACTGACTTGCACACAGAGGTAAACCTGATAACAATAATACAACATTTTCAATTTGTGATGGAGTACTTTTGTATGTGGAAAAATGGTAATTCCGTTATCACTACAAAAGAGGATTTTGAAACAATTCCATGTAGGATATCCGGTAATAGCGAAGATGAAGTCCCTCATGAGAAGCTAAGTTTATTGGTCAAAGTGGCCAATCCAGGGGCAAATTCTTATATCCTTACTACAGAATTCAGTAAGACTACATCTACTCCAAGCGACATTATATTTCATGATTGTGTTATCTTCATTCAATGGAATGAAGACATAACACTTTCGCATTGTCTCGCGCCATTCGTTAAGGTTGTCCGTTTTTGCCTTTGTTGTATGTTCCTGCGTTGGAGCCTTTCCTTCGCAAGTTAACGATGAATCCAGTTCTACGTGAAATTTCCCTACCTGGTGCTACCATCTCCGCCAGGTATTTGCCTATACTGACGATGTTTCGGTTCTTGTGTCAAGCAGAGCCGAGATTGATGAAATCAGCAAAGAGATCAGAGGGTACGAGACGGTGGCAGGGGCTAATCAACCGCGATAAGTCTGTTGGATGTGGTTGGGTGCGTGGAAGGGAGTTTCTCTTCCCGGGCCTTTCCTGTCTAGGTCGTTCCCGATATCCTTTTGGAAATGAATTGGTCGGAGGTGCGGGAGAAGGCTGAGGTTGCAGTTCGTCTCTGGTACTGGAAGAATCTTTCCTTAAAGGGGAGAGTTGAAGAGTGTGCTGTGCACATCTACTCAACTCTCCATACTTCTACTCCCATATACCATATTAATGACATTAGTAAAGGTTTGTTCTCATCCGTGTGATGAGGCAAGTCTCCCAATGGATGTTGGGAAATCTGTTATCGCCATCCTCCTGAAGGCAGTCTGGGCTGAGATTCGTCAGTATACGCTTCGCATCGCCTTCATAGATAGAACATCTGCAACGGGATGGTGAAGGCGAATTCTGGAAGACGCCCATAAGAACTTCCTATCCTTGAGAAGTGTGCACTTGCGTGAGGAGTTTATTCCGAGGCGAGTGCTCCTTCTCTCATGAGTATCGGGTTGCTCTCAAGCACCTCTGATGGACAGTGGATAGCTTCTCCGACGTCCAGTAAGGCATTTCATCATGCGTTTGCTGCGATGAGAGGGTAGAGACCCTAGATCACACCTTTAACTGTAGGACCGTAGCCCCATTGTGAAGGTTTATTGAATATATCATGGAAAGTTTTTCAGCCATTTCTGTGTATGTGGTGTCGTTGACGAAGGCTGACTATTCTTTTGCTTGCTAGGCATTACGAGAGTCATGATATGAACACGTCAGAAGGAATTCTATGGGGATGAGAAATTCACCTCTTCCCAATGGATCTTGTACTGTAAGCATCAGTTTAAAGTTAAGATTAGAACAGAAAGGCTGAGGCTCATTCAATCAGTTTGCCAAAAAGTGGGTGAGTCTTGCACATATATGTTGAGTAAGATTTAGAGTGGCACTTTGAACATTGGCAACCCAGTTCAAAATTTTGTTAGTTTAGGGTTGTCTTTGAAAGTTTAATTTGCTAGCAGATGGTATGCTCATTAACCCTTTTTTTATTTCTCTCCCCACCTTCTTTAGTTTAATTCCAGAGCGGTATAGGGAGCCGATCATTTATCTGCATCGTTAGCGATAAATCGTATATAGGAATTTCACTTGAGGCTGGTTGTGAGTTTGAGGACCATCCTCTCAAGACACGGTCCATCCTTGATGGGACATCCATTCATCACGACAGGCAGTAGTTCAGGGTCTGATCGGCAGTGATGGAATGTAACTAGATTGGTTTTAGAGGCACTGAATGTAACTAACCAATTTTTCCCTACTGAGAAGTTAGTGTTAGATTGGAAGAGTTCAGCTGCCAATCTCGAATCGTCAAAACATTTAAGTTTATCATCAGCATAGACGCTTACGTTTTTCAGGGTATATTCTTAGGTAGATCATTTATATAAATCAGAAAGAGGGTTGGTCTAAGAAGTGACCCCTGCGTTGACCACCAGAGCTTTGGAGGAATGGCTGTTAATAACTACCTTTAGGCATCAGCTGTTAGGAAGGATTTTTATAAGAGAAAACCCTTCTAGCGATTCCATAGTTGGAGAGCTTGTGTAGCAAACCTTTGTCAAAGGTCTCAAGACATTTAATGACATGGCCCTTTTGGTAGGTGTCATCAAGAGTTTCACTAATTCTGTGTGTAATAGTGGTTAGGGCATCAGCAGTTGCACAGGTGATTGACAACCTTCTTGTTAAGGCCTCAAAAAGCTAACTGATGATACTGAGGAGACTAATGGGTCTATACTAGGAGGGGGAGGATAGGTTGCCACATTCTTGTAGATTGGGCATACACTTGCCACCTTCCACATGTGTGGGAGAGATTTCTAATTCAAGTTAAATAACTTTGCTAGAATTGGGGATAATTCTGGATTGATATTGTTAAAAATTGGAAATGTTTTGGTATAAGGAATATTGTGGTATGTTCAAGTCAGTGATTGTGGCTAGTGAAGTTTAATTAGAAAACAGAAGAAAACCAGCTTTCCTCCCATTAGATCTTGTGCCACATTTTCGTATTTTATACAAAATATCATACATTCATTTATCTGGTGAACCTCTAACAGACCACTTCAACAATGATGCTTCTTAGATTTCTGCAGCCAACCCTCCGATATTGACAATCACTTTCAATGTTCATTGATATATTATTGCAGGCTATGTAACAATCTATTCAAAGGTATGAGTTCACTTCTCTATAGCTGTATCCAACTGATCAAGATTTTCATTTTTTGTCTTATGCAATGTTTTCCAGTTTTTGTCATCAATATTACAGTAAATTTCAGTAACTAGTTTTTTTGTTTCTTTAAATCAGTTATAGTTTCAACACTATTTTTCAGTCAGATGCCAGACACAACAACAATCAAGTTTCTGTCTTAACTTTCTAATAAATCTACTTTGACATTATCACAGTAGAATTAAAAATAAAATCCCAAAATTGGAAGCAAAAATAAATGCCAGCCTGAAAATGTTTACCACATGCATGCTGAACAGTAACTGATGTGACAATACATCTATACCATTACACCAGGCTACTAGGGATGGTAGACTTGTATTTTTTTAAAAATATTTGTTGTCTTAAAAAACATTTAAATTTCAGTATTTAAATCTTCAGTAAACAAAGTGTACTTATAGCTGCACTATACTAAGAAATGAAATGAAAGATAAAACTGTAGCAATGAAATAGTTGGACAATTATGGAAATATATGAATTTATTAACCACAAAACAATGTTCATACAGATGGCTTTTGTTTTTATTTTTTTTGTCATAATACATAATGTGGAAAATCTGAGATGAAAAGTTTTTGCCATCGAAAGAAGTTATGTAAGCCATACTGTTGAAGTATGACCAATACAAAGCTGTTGAGGTGATGAGGCAGAGAGTAATAACAAAAAATCCAGTTCCAATGATCACTAAGACTTTCAAAGAAAATGAGAGGAAAGGGGCATAAAAACAATGAATGTTTGGACATTGAAAATTGAGCAATAAGAGATGAAGTGACTCAAAAAAAAAAAAAAAAAAAAACATCTCTACAACCATTTTAGAAAAAGTTACAGAAACAAAACTGCAACCCGTAGACAAGGAAGTCTAAGTAAATGAAACAGTAAAAAATATTTGGAATAGACATGGGGACACAAAACAAAATGAATGGGTATCAACAAGAGATGAAAAGATGATGAAGCTTAGAGTTTAGATTAGCTGGAAGACTGGAATGTAGATGGGAAAGGACAATGGGGGGGGGGGGATTTAAATAAATAAAGAATTAAAAAAAATTTTTTTTTTATTTAACCCGCTCACTCTCAGAAAAAAAAAATGTAGAGAATTCTAATAAGTTTATTGATTGTTTAATGGTGAATCGGAGAAACAATGTGAAAAGCCATTTGATGGTCTGAGCTGAAACCCTAGAAAATCTCCAAAGCAACCTCCTTCCTGGGTTATTAATTTTTCTTCCCCTGCTCCCATTCATTCCACTGTGTCCAAACAAAATTTATTTTACTGTTGTGTATGTTCAGATTTGTATCTTTTGTATTAAAACAAAAAACTTTACAGCAGTAATCTATATACACTGAAATTTACGACTTAGAGAGAGGAAAAACCTCATTCTAACTCATGATAGCGTGCAAACATGGTTTTTTTTACTGCGGTCTTGTATGAATCTCCAGCATCAGATACAATGTTTGCCCCACGAACTCCAAGACCTGCACTTACTGACCTCCGTTGAGCCTGCAAAAGTAAAAATAACAGATTTTAAACATATGCAAGAAAAAAGATTGATTTTTTTTTTTTTTTTTCTTTGTTAAAAATAAAACATCCCAATAGTTTATTTTTCTTTCATGTTGAGGAAAATATAAATAAGCAGATTGGGCAGAGATATCTTAAATAGGTAGACTAACATACCATAAAATGAATTAGTAAATTTTAAATTTATTCAAAAATGATCTCCTATGCCACCATATTTTCGAGTTTCTATTAAAAAGGAGTGTTTTTGGGGGGGGGGGGAGAGAGAGAGAGAGAAAAAAAATCACCTCTTTCCATGTAAATTTTGAAGGCCATTGAGCGCATCAGCCAAAACTTTGTAATAGCAACAAAGAGCAAGATCAAATTAAAGATTTTTGAACATGATTTTTCTTTTGAAGATTCATCAGTTTGTGTTGAACAAAGGAGGCTTTAATAGTAAAACTGTATTTTCAGAGTAGATTATGCTGGCATCAATCAGGTTTCCCACAGATCTGTGTAAAAAAAAAAATTCAGGACTTTTCCAGGTCTATGTTAATAAGTTCCAAGGACTGAAATTGGCATGCACACAAAAGTGAATGGTCATCAATTACAAAAACACACAGATGACAGATAAAATGTTCAAAGAAAAGCTACACCTGGTTCCAATAATTCAGGTCACATGGATCGGTTAAAAGCAGTGGAGAAATCCAAGTGTTGAAGGCTAAAACATAACTGAATGCAGACCTTGTTATGTTACACATGTAGCATTCTACAGTTTGTACTCCTATTCCGCTTGAATATTTTGAATTACACACTTTAATTCTTACTGCTACACATTTCAACTATCTTGACTACTTCTGGTTTGTAAATATAACAAAAAATTCTTGACAGCTGCACATTTCCTGTGAAGTATAATGGTTTTAATAAACAGAACTACAAAGACATTTTTACAAAAGACTACACATTTTAGCTACCCCTACAACTCATTTTGTTGTACATGGCACAGAACATAATGTTAACATTTCTTCAGATAGATATAGCATGATTTTTGATGTCTTTGCAGAACTTTGCATCACACTGAACTTTTGTGATTAGTGCAAAGTTTTGAGCTGTCAGCTTACTTGAGCAATTGTCAAGCTTGTGTTTTTTGGTCTTTGTCCAGTTGCTGCATCCTGCCTTTTCTTCTTCTCAGCCTCATGGATTAGTTGTATGCTGTTCTGGCATTGGAAGCACTGCAGAGAAGAGCCTTAGTCATAAGAACATTCCCAGCACATCCAACTGTGGTCCAAGATGATGTACTGTGCAACCAGTGCTTGTTTCTTAGCCAGTGGAAATTACTGAGACCCCTCTCTTCGTTGAGAGAGTACTGGCAATCTGCGAACCACTCCCCAGTTTTTGATATTCTTTGTCACTAAGACAAAGAAATGTAGAACAAAGTGTCCAGTCTTTATGCTTGCTGAAATTCTTGAAAGCAATATTTCCAGCAGCCTCCTCTGCAAACTCTTTTTACTGACTGATAATTTCATCAGAATCAGACTTGTTTTCTATCCATCATGTGGGAAAGACATCATTTTAGACTGTCTTCTGTAGCTATTTTTTTTCTTCAAAAACCACAAATGGATTCAGGGTTCAGCCATGTAAGTGACCTTACAAGAGGGTATCTAAAGGGAAACTTTGCCAGAAGTGATGAAGAGTGTTTTTGTTGCAATTCAGCATGCAAACAGATCTTTTGTTGACACATTTTCTTTTTTGGATAAATCACATAGCCCCATTGCCAGAAATCCACAACATCTTTGCAGCATCTTTATGCATGTTTGGGTTTGACAAAATTCTTACAAATTCATTCAGTTTGGAAAACGTAATTATCTTTTTAGTGTGCGCTTCATTTACAAATCTTCCTAACATTTTCATGATCATGTTAAAAAGATCATCTGCAAGGAAAGAAACCAACAGTTTATTACTCTGATATTTATTAGAAATGGTTCAATGTTTTTGGAAATAGACAACAATCTGCAGTTTCACTGAAAATAAAATGTCATTCACGTTTGATAGCACTAGAGAAGGACTTGGTCTGGGGACATTTTTCTTTTTTTTTAAATAAAATTCACAAGTTTGATGACAGGAGTCATTCACATGCTTGTACAGTTTATAGTCACTGATGGCAGAATAGGAACAGGATTGCCAGTTCAGTTGAACGTCTAATATAAAGCCAAGCAATAAAAACCAAATAAGTTTTAATATATTTTTTTTTCCCTTACAACAAAAGCTAGAAATACAGGTCATTATTAGTTTGCAAACTTAAAAAATGACATTCTTATTTTTTCAAGGACACGTTTTCTACCATATTTTAAGACATTTTCTACGAGTCAAAATTTGATTTTCAAACTTGTTAATTTTGGCAACAATTTAGACAAATGTAGTTTACACATGGATACACACTGACACAGGACGTGTAAACTATACAGTTTTTCAAGCATGAACTCAGACTAGAAATCAAAAGGACTTTTTACTTTTGAAATAGACAATAAAATTTCTTCAAAAAAAAAAAAAAAAAAAAAAAAGATAAATTTTTCGATATTCTTCTAAATTGGATTTCATTACTGTAAAATATTTTATTTCCCTTTCAACTACAAATTCAGTGAGTGAATTAATTTATCTCTGTACACACTTACATATTCTTTCTCATCACCTAGATGAGAAAATACAGAAATAACAAGGTGATGAACATGTTCTAATCAAGGAAACAAACCACCGTTTGCAATAATTGCTAAATATTACTGATGGCTTAAAAAAAACAAAACAAAAAACAGATTTCTGAGATTTGGCATTTTGACTTTCATGAACTGAGAAAAAGATGTATGTGCAGCCCAATTTAGAAAATTTCAAGACTTTTCAAGGATCTTTTGGGTTATTGCTGTTTTTCCAGTACTTTTCAAGCCCTAGAAAAGGCACTGTCAATTTTCCATGTCTTTTCATGGTTTCCAGGGCTTATACAAACACTGATCTATTTAAAAATGATTCAATTTATCAGAAGCATATGATTTAAAGAAAAAAGGGAAGTATCCTGGGAATTTATTTACCTGAATAGGTGCCACAATCCCCTGGCCTTGTTTGCCAAGACCTTGCCCCTCACTCCAGCCCATTTTCTGCAATAGTTTGTTACCAATGTTATCATTGCCAATTCCCTGCTTGGTTGGTTCTTCATAACTGAAAAACAAATAAGCAACATTTATCAAATTCCATTATAAAAACCTGTGAAAATAATTGAAGCTTATTAAAAGGGGACAAATGTAATTAAAGAGATGCTACAAGTAAAATACAAACAGCTTTACACAAAAGATCATTGCTTTAATTTTGTCTGAGTTTTTTTCAAGTACAAAGTTTTAGGTAAATAGAAAAATGATTTTCTCATATAAAACTGATTGTGATCAATAAATTTAATTAAATCAAAAAGAAATTTCCACAGAAGATAGATGTAAAATTCAATTTAACTTATTTCATGAGAATACCCAATATAACTTCAGCCTAACCTGCAAACTATGACATGTGAGGTGTGTTCTAAATACCAATTAAGTGTTTTCTTTTTTTCATTGCATTTACTTTCACTGACAAGATAAATAAAGAATAAATTTCATATTGTAGTTTTTTTCTTAATGTTTTCTTAATTAGGGTTTAATATCTCTCTTGCTAAGTTTTAGTGTAAAATAAACACACGCACTTGACAGGAGCTTCAAATTTGCGCCTTGGTTCTGGCGGGGAGGGTGCTCCATATTTCTCCCTTCTTTCCTTGGCACGATCACGGTACTAGATAGCAAGAAAATAAAAACTAAGCAACAACAGACAAAATACTTTTTAAAAATAACTTAGAAATTAAACAATTCAATTTATATTTAGGCTGCTTACACAAATTGAAATAGCTGATACATTACCTCCAATAAGTTGTGTTTTTGCTCAAAATGTTTATCAGAATAGCCTCACTTGTGCACATTTAAACAGGTTTGTTCATGGGGGAGGAGAGAGAGGGAATAATTTACCGGTTTTCATTGCTCACATTTTGTACAATAAATGCCATTCTACTGCTTGTCCACACTCAGATAGGAAGTAGACAGGTTGATCATACCCCAAAAATCTTTGAATCAAAAATGTGATCAATCCATTTGATTCCAGTGATGACAAAATCCTTAAACCACCACATCCCAGTGCACTATATGCTACTGGCCATAACAAAAATCAATACAACCAAACTTGCTCTGTGCCATCATCATGTAACTTCAACCCAGTTACAAAAAAAAATCTGAGATGTGTCAGTTAACAAGAGTATCTCATGAGACAATACACAACCAGCTTCCCCCTTAGTAGGCAGTTATTGCACATGACATTCCTAAAGGACAGACATTTATAAACATGTTTACAGTGTGTCTGAGGCCATATGAAGTGGACATTGCAACAATGGTTATGAGTGCAAAATACTTTTGTATCAAGAAGTTGGTCATCAGTAGGTAACAAGGATGCAGAGATGAGCCTTAAGCCACTGCTAATATCATGGTCCCAAACCCATTGAGCTGGCGGTAGCTGCAAAACATTCAACGGAGGAGTAACTGATAACAAGGAGTCAAATCTAGTCATTGGTAATGGAAGCATCACTGTCCAGTTTTAGCAGTGAGAAAATACTGACCCCATTATCATTAACCTCACCAGGGTCCAAACTTTATCTTCATGGGCAGTTACCACCTGCCTTCAAGAGGCCAATGTCCCAAATGGAATGGGCAGTCATAGAACATTGTGGGACTAGTTAAATACTGCATATTTATACTTGGGACCCAACCACCACTTTTATGATAATGGTGGAAGTGCCACTTTCTGACAGTGCCATTTGAAAATTTTACATTCAGCCATTTAAGATTGTAATCCTATACTGTGCCTTTTTTTGTACAAAAGAAACATCCATGTTACAGAGTAACATTAAAACCAGCTAAAAAAGAAACAATGAAGTATAATCATAATAATGTATTGATTTTGAGTATTATAATTGAAAATATCTGGCAACATTTCCAATTTAAAATTCTTATTGTTAATGACATCTTTTATTTGACATTGATATTGCTACAATATTTTTTCTTCTCTCCTCAGATGTGGTAATGAAAAATAGAAGGAAACAGGTTTTATTTTTCTATACATCAGTTGCAAAATTTTAAAAGTTTGATATTTGGCATCATAATATGCTAATTCTTTAAAACCTTTTGAATAATTAAAAAATTGCTGTTTGCAGCAATCATGAATTCAAGCCAATATCTGATTCTCAAGTTTTAAAATTTACCCAACATTGTTAAACATGAAAAGCAAAATAAAAAGAAAATATATTTGAGCAAAGTAATGATCATAAAAGAGATTTAGTAATGTTAATAGGCTATTTTTTTTAAAAACAAATGTTAAAAATAATGGAAGTTAAATTATCAGATGTTTAGAATTATTTTCATATTGACTGATTGAAAATCTTGCAATTGTAACCTCAGTTTCAGATATTCTTTGTTACTAGACAAAAGAGTAGAACAGTGTCCAGACAGTCTTCATGCTTGCTGAAATTCTTGAAAGAAATATTTCCAGCAGCCTCCTCTTTAAACTCTTTGTACTAACTGATAATGTCATCAGAATCAGACATGCTGACTTTTTCTCTATCCATCATGTCTTTTGTGGCATTTTTTTTTTTTTTTTACAAATAGATTCAGGGTTCAGCAAATGATCTTACAAAAGGGGTGACTTTGCCAGAAGTTTCTCAATGATGGTGATGACCATCCATCTTTGTTGCAATTCTGCATGCAAGCAGATCTTTTGTTGACACATTTCCTTTTTTGGATAAATTTTGCATAGCCATATCAGCCAGAAATCCACGATCAATCTTTGCAGCATCTTTATGCATGTTTGGGTTTGACAAAATTCTTACAAATTCATTCAGTTTGAAAAATGTAATTATCTTTTTTGTATTTACAGTATTCGAACTGTTATCCCCATCTTCATTGCCATATTCACATGCAAATAATCACACCTCATCTTAAAGAGATATATGGATATCTTTTTAGTAACTTTTTGAGGGGGGGGGGGGGGAAGAAAAAAAAATTTACATTTTTTTTAAGGATCCCTGCATTTAATTAATAAAACAAATTTTAAAGTTAGAATTTTATTTCTAGAAACTAAATTAAGTGTGGGGGTAACAGATGTAAAAAAAAAAAAAAAAAAAAAATTTTTTTTTTTTCCCCACCAAGATTTTCAAAAAATAATTTCAAAAATAAAATTCATTTATTTGTGAATAATTCCAGAAAGTTTCATTAAATTCAGACAATTCTTTGAATTTTGCAAGAATTTCCAAATCAACATGTTATTTTACTGGAAAAAAAGTGCAAAAATTTCTATAGTTAGCTGTGTTACACTGTTGACACATAAAATTAAAAAAATATTTGACAATAAAAATTTGTTTTTAAGTTTGAGGCATTTTTCATCATGCAATGGTGTTTTTTATTGAAAAAGTGGAGGTATCTACTTTTTAGTATGCTTCTCTTTTACGAATTTTAACAGTTTCATGATCATGCTAAAAAGATCATCTTCAAAAAAAGGAAGCAATAATTTTTCGCTCTAATCAAACAATTCAGTGTCTTTTGAAACAGACAACAATTTGCATTTTCACTTTTTTTTAAATTAAGTTTACAAATTTGATGACATCTAGACAAATGTGTAGGAGTCGTTCACATGTTTGCATATTTGAAGTTTTAATATTTCATCAATTTTTCATACTTACAAAAGCTAGAGATGCAGGTCATTATTAGCCTGCAAACTTTAAGAATAACATTCTTATTTTTTCAAAGACACATTTTCTATCATATCCTAAGATACAGCATAGGCACATTTTCTACCATCCTTCCCGGCTACATTTTCTTTGAGTCAAAATTTGATTCACAAACTTGTTCAAAACAAATTGTTCAAAAGGCCAGATTTCTGGGATTTGGGATTTTGATTTTCATGGAAAAAAAGAAGAAAAAGGGACATGTGGGCAGCCCAATTTAGAAAATTCCAGGCCTTTTCAAGGAGCTTTTGGGTTATTGCTGTTTTTCCTGGATTTTTCAAGGTTTCCAGAACCTGTACAAACCCTGACTAACTTCTACAACAAAGGTCTTGCTGTTTCTTTCTTTTCAGCTTCTTGGAAATCCTTTTCCTTAGTTCCTGTTTTTAAGAACTCCGATAAAATTGCCTGATTAGTCTTCTACTGCTTTTTTTGGCAAAATACTAGTGACTCTAATCAACTTCAAATTGGTTAAGCATCTCACTTCGCAGGGTGCTCTCTCAGACAAGTAATATGGTTCTTGCTTCTCTATGTCAACTACTGATGTGCTAACAGTTATTGTTAAATAAGTCTGTTAAGCTATAGATAACAATGCTGAAGCTGTTAGTAAAGTTTGTTCACTATGTCATACTAGTCACTTTTTCTTGCCATAATCTATCTTGCATCTTTATAAGTCTACCATTTGTCTGTGCATCGAATATTGTTGCTCCCATCTGGTCAGGTGCTACTGTTATGTATATAGATTCTTGACAAAATCCAAAAAAGAATCTGTAATATATAGAATCTTCAGTCATTTTCCCATTGCCGTGATATAGTTTCATGTCTTTTCTATAAATACTTTGTTCTGATGTGCTTACCTAGTCATGAATTTAAGCATGATACTATATTGGCAGCTAGGTCTCCTCATTTCACTGTTGAAATTGCTAGATGTAACTGTAAGCTCTATGCTAATAATTTCTTCTCCCACATTTTCTTGGCTGTGAATCTTTGAAATTTAAAGGCAACATCAATAGTCATCTCCAATCTTCTTGAATTTTGATTTTCTAATGTCCCCTCTCTCCTTAATGAGTTTCTCAGTAACCCCTTGTGTCGTGTGATTTTATTGCCTTGCTTGGGATGAAATAATTTGAAGAAAAACACATACTTACAGGTCCTTTTTTATCTCCATCTGGGCCACCTGAACTGAATTTCTTCTTCAAAACCTCCAGATTTTGCTATAAAATTAAAAAAAGAAATGTTTAACATTTCAAGTTTAGATTCGATAAAATCTTTGTATGTTAAATACATTTTCAAGTTAGTCTTTATCACTTTTAAATATAAAGTAGAAATCACATACACCCATGTGGGAACAATAAATGTTTTTGAAAATCACTAAATTTTTGGTGGCTTCTGAACCTTTGTCAGTACTTGAGAGAGACACACATACATACACATTTTAGCATTCCAAATTAAATTTATTTTTTGGAATAATAAAAAAAAAAAAAAATCTTTGGCAAAAATTGTGAAAATTTTTTAACAAGAGCAAAACAGCAAAAGTCTTCCTGTATTTACATACTGAATTTTGGTCTTATCCTATTTATGAATAAAAGAAAATGCATGTTGTAACATTATAAACCTGAAAAGTGTTACACAGCATGAAAGGGTTAATATTCAATCTGAACAGCAAATAGTTAAAAATATGACACTAATAAGTACCTTATGGAGATCAGAGAGTTGGGTGTGTCTAGTGAGAGCTTCTTTGCTGGGGAACTGACGTTTGCAAAGCAAGCATGCTAATTTGGCCCAGTCAGTGAGTTTAGATTCATCTAACATGCCAGTTCGTTGAGAGACACCTGGTTGAGGAGATTGCTCAAACTGTTCATCATCAGAGTCACTGTCACCGCCATAAGAAGCCACCAGGGCAGGGTTAGAGGCTGCTGCAGCTGCTGCAGCCGTCATAGCTGTTGATGTTGTTAGAGCTGCAGATTTCTCAACAGTTGCCTTAAATAAAAAATCCAAATTATGAAACATTTTTCATTAAAAAAAAGAAAAAAAAAAGAAAAAGAAAAAAAATGAATCAAAAAATAAAATCGTAAAATACTCATTTTCTTTTGTCCTTAAAGACACATACAAAATGTAAAAAATATAGACACTGATTAACATCTTGCTTAATGTTACTACTGTACAAATTTGATATCAAAGTGTTTACAATATGAAAGGAAAAAATATTTCCCAAATCAAATTTCATAGAAATGAAAAATAAACTTCAGAACAATTTAAGTTGAAGAGGAAATTATTTTTAAAATATCAGAAATTTAATTTTTGACAAGGCCTGCAAAGATTTGTTTCTTCAGATTTAACCCCACCCACACCAATAATACATTTAATTTCAATAGTTTTTCAAGTTTTCATTTTTTTTTTCTTTTTAATTGTAAAAACAATTTGGATTTGAAACAAATCAATTAGTACATACAACACTATATTTTCATAGGATTTTTTTATTTTTTATTTTTTTATTTTCTTTCTTCCTTTTTACCCCTACAATATTAAGCAGTGTTGGCACCAAACAAAGCATGCTAATTTGTTACATTCAATTTTGTAACCCAGCTGATACGCTTGAGATTTTGAGGATCAACCAGAGAAAAATAAAATTTCTTACCATTGGTGATGGGGGAGGCATTAATCTCTTGTCTTCTAAGCCTCTACCACTACACTATAAAAAAAAAAAGTAAATTTAAATATTTTAGCTTGTAAATTTAAAAAGCAAAAGCTTAAAAATAAAAAAAAATAAAAATTTTTTTTTAAAATCACTTTTTGATGTCAACTCTACATTCATATGCTAGTAATACATTTGTATGATGTTTATACAATTCAGTAATTAAAACAAAAAAGAAATATTACCGTTTTTTCCAAGATAGCATATCCTGCATCAGCTGTAGCAGACTCTCGTTCCTCTCCCCCTCGTTTAACAGGTGTCATCACACCACTTGCACTAACCACCACCTTTTTGTAACCTTCTTTAATGGCTTCCTTTTGAGCATTTAAGGTCTTTGCCCACTTCTCCATATCCTTAAAGAAATTAAAGAAAATTAGACATACAAGAGAGAGGAGAGAAAGAGAGAGAGGAGAGAAAAGAGAAAGAGAAAGAGAGACTTAAGAGAGAGAGAGAGAGAAAGAGAGAGAGGAAGGAAAGAGAGAGGAGAGAAAGAGAAAGAGAAGAGAGAGAGAGAGAAGAGAAAGAGAGAAGAGAACTAAAGAGAGAAGAGAAAAAGAGAGAAGATCAAGAGAGAAGAGAAAAAGAGAGAGAGAGGAAAAAGAGAGAGAGAGGAAAAGAGAGAGAGAGGAAAGAGAGAGAGAGAGGAGAGAGAGAGAGAGGAAAAAGAGAGAGAGAAAGAAGAGAGAGAGAGAGAGAAAAGAGAGAGAGAGGAAAGAGAGAGAGAGAGAAAGAGAGAGAGAGAGAGAGAGAGAGAGGAAAGAGAGAGAGAGAGAAGAGAGAGAGAGAGAAAGAGAGAGAGAGAGAGAGAGAGAGAGAGGAAAAGAGAGAGAGAGAGAAAAAGAGAGAGAGAGAGAAAAGAGAGAGAGAGAAGAGAGAGAGAGAAAAAGAGAGAGAGAGAAAGAGAGAGAGAGGAAAGAGAGAGAGAGGAAAGAGAGAGAGGAGAGAGAGAGAGAGGAAAGAGAGAGAGAGAGAGAGAGAGAGAGAGAGGAAAGAGAGAGAGGAAAGAGAGAGAGAGGAGAGATCTTGAAAAAAGAGAGAGAGGAAAGGAGAGAGAGGAGAAAGAGAGAGAGGAAAGAGAGAGAAAGAGAGAGAGGAAAGAGAGAGAGAGAGAGAGATTCAAAGAGAGAGAGAGAGAGGAAAAGAGAAGTTAAATCATCTAAATTTAAAAGTGTGGGATTTGAAAGCATTACATTTTTGTGTGCTATTTATAAATAAAATGTAATCATTTCCTTTTTGTATTTTACACAGAAATACACATGCATGCACGCGCACACACACTCACATGCCAACCTTCAAATTTATTCAATTAAATATCAAGCAGTTAATATGTATATAATACATATTTTATAAAATTGTCTAGCAACAGATGATTTTAATTAAAAATCCTAAAACATAAAAATTTTCTGTCCTTTAGAGTTTATTCTATGTGGTTTACAATATTTGTAACAAAGTTAGTCAGAACAGTTAATTTATCCAATTAGATAACAGAAAACATCACTGAATGTCACTATTTTTGCATTGATATTTAATAACATTCAATTCATTTCTCCCATCAACTTGAACTTCCCACTACTGAAATAATGAAAACAAACAAAGCTAATATTAATCAAGGAAAACAACCAAAGAATACCTTAGCAATCTTTTTAGCAATTTTAACTTTTTCTTTTTTATCTTCTTTCTTTTTTCCTTTCTGATCATTATTATCTTTCTGTTCCTCTCCTGACTGTCCCTGAGCTGAGGTGGGAGCAGGAAGATAAGTCGATTTTTCAGCATCCCAATACAAGAATTGGCAAGTAGTTGCATTGTAATAATACTGCAGAGTGAGAAAGGAAAGTACAATACTTGTTATTAATTACATAAAAGTTAAATTATGAAATCAAGTACTTCAACCTGACAAGTACAAACATTGTTCTGCAATCTTTGCAAGATTAGAATATTTTATTTTTATCTAATAATGTTAATAAGCCAAGAATTATTTGTATCAATTCATCAAAATAAAAAACAATTTTTAGTTTCAATGAAAAGACAGCCTACCTGGGAATTGGCATCATAATAAAGCCCTGTAGACGGATCATAATAGTAACCAGAACTTTCATCATATTGATATGTGCAGACATCAGGAGAAGCTAAAGAAGCAAAGTGAGCCATTATATAAAGACATATATTAAATTAATAAACCTACAACATTAATAAGTTACAATTTAACTGAATAATGGGAATGAGGACTATTCAAGTTAAAATTTTAACAAATAAGCATAAAATATTGGGTTGCTCAGAAAGTTCATACCAAATTTTAGTCATTCATGTTAGAACACATCAAATTTATCAACAGATAAAATATGCTTACATTTCCAATTAGAACACACTTCAAAATATCACTAGAAGGAAAGTTATGAGCACTTAATGAAGCTTGGGTACTCAAATCGCTATATTTGGGTACCACATGATCTGAGTGAAAATAATCTTTTGGATTGCATTTCATCTGTGATTTTCTGTATAAGCACAAAGAAAATGCACCATTTTTTAAGCAAATTGTGATGGGTGATGAGAAATGGATTGTTTACAACAATGTTCAGCAAAAATGATCCTGGGGTAAGTGACACTAGCCCACTTTAGCCACCTCAAAAGCAGGTCTTCATCCTAATAAAGTAATGCTGTGCATTTGGTGGGATTATGAGCTTCAGTCAAGTGATTCTGAAAAGTACTGCTCACAACTGGTTAAATTAAAGAAAAATGCCCAGAACCGGCCAAAAGGAAAGGTGTTTGTTTTCCATCAGGATAATGCCAAACTTCACTTTTCTTTGACAACCCAGCAAAAATTGTTGCAGCTTGGCTGGAATGTGTCACCAGATATTGCTCCTGTGAATTTTAATTTATTCAGGTCCTTTCAAAATAATTTCAGTAGGGTAAAAATGTTAATTCTTTGGATAACATAAAAAACTACCTTTGCCAAGAAACCACCAAATTCCGGGAAAATGGAATCTTTAAGTTGAAGAAAAATGGAGAAACATTGTGCAATAAAATGATTCATATTTAGTTGAATAAATATTTAACATAATTTTGTTTTGTGTTTCAATTCCCCTTAAAAAAAAAAAAAAAAAAAAAAAAACCTTTCCAGACAACCCAATAACATGGTCATTCAAAGATGAGAACCTGTGAGATCAAGCTTTAAAATAAAATGATGTGCCTTGTTAACAATTGACCTTAATTTTAATCAGAATGTCAAATTTGTAGCTGCCAAATCAAGTGGAGAGAAAGTCCTTTGAGCAGCTGTTCTAATAAATTACTTCAACTTGTTTGAAAATTTTATTTTTTAAAAGTTATATTTATTTTACTTCTTTACTGGAAAGGGGGAGAAGGGGATTTTATATCATTAGTGATTTAAATTTATAGCACAGTAATTTTTTTTATTCAAATCTTATTTTTCTAACAATATCGAAAAAAAGAAAAAATGCTTGAAATTAAATTATAAATTTAAAAAATCATTAGAAGAAAAATCCTTGAAAGCTGACACTGAACAGATGCTAAAGTTGTCAGAATTCGTATAGTTTGTACTTTCTTCTCTATAGAACACTTATGAGCCATGCAACTTTTTTTATAGGCACCAATGTATCATTAATATAAAGATTTAATTGTAACTAAAGGATTTCCGCATCAGTGAAGAAAAATGAAACTGATAGTAGAAAAGCTTATAAATCACTCATTCAAATTTGAGGAAATCTAACTTACGGTATTTAGGATACTCATCATTAACAGGCATTCCTGTTGGGGTTTGAAATGTTTGCTGTGTAACGGGCTGCTTGGAGATGGAAGATGAACCTTTTTTTGTTGGACTTTCTGATGCTGTCGTTGACAATGTTGCTACCGTTGCTGCTCTTGTGGTATCTGTTTTACTTTCAACAGTTGTAGGGGCACCAACCGTAACTGCTGAAGCACTGACAGTTGCTGTGGAAGACTGTGGGGACTGCGAAGAGGAAGGGGAAAGATTTTTCTGTTGAGACCAGTTCTGAGCCTGATGGGCCAAACGTTCTTCAGGGGACATTTCAGCCAACTTCTGCTGTTCTTGCACCTAGAAAAGGTTTCAGAACAAATGTCATTTATACCTGATTTACGAAGGTCACAACATTTGCGATCAATTCTAAATCAGATTGAATAACACGATATATATATCTTGTTAGTGAACACTCCAAATAATGCTATCAACAAATGAAGACATGTTAACAGCATTAATATTTTAGGGTGTGTATAAAATACAAAGCAAAATACTTAAATATTTTAATTTCTTAAACTGATAAGCATAAATGCATGTGAAGTACAAAATAATTCTTAAACTTTTTCCTTGCTACCAGAATGAGTTATGAAAAATTCTCAATGCACAATAAAAACATTTGCTCCCCAACCCAGTCTGTATAGGTCTCTTAAGAATGAGCATTTGCCCATTTCGCCATATCCTTAAAGAAATGGAAAGTTATATATACAAAAGAGAGAAAGAGATAAATGAGATTGTCTAAATTTAAATCTTACATTTGGAAGCTTTACATTGGTGTTACTTACAAAATGTAACCATTTTCTTTTTATGTTTTATAAGTAAAAAAAAAAAAATCTACATGAATTTGATTTTTTCAATTATCTTTACATTGGCTGTGAAAAAGGAGATCCATCACAAGGGTTTTTAGTATGTAAACACACAGCAAAATTACTTACTTGTTTCTGGTAGTGTTTTTGATATTGTTTGGCAGCTTGTGCTTGTTGAATAGCAGCTTGAGCAACAGCAGCAGCAGCATTAGTTGAGTCTCCTGCAAATAGAAATATCCAACAAAAATTAGTACCAAGATCAATGACATTTTTGCCTGTATCCTATGTGATGTCTGTCTACATCAATATAGCAAATAATCATTGCAAATATCAAATATAAGAAAAAACACAGGTAGAAGTAAATGTTAATATTTGGACACTGTCATAGAGCAAAAAACTTTAAGAAATAATTCTAAACACCACAGCTCTTAAAGGAAGCTATGCATAAAAGAATACACCTAGTAATATATTAATATCTGTTGATATAAAAAAGACAATTTGTTATCTCTCCAACTTGAATGAAAATTTTACTCTTTCACATACACATTATGCATAGTTACACACATACAACCTGAAAGAGTATTGTGGAAAATTAGGTTCTTAAAAATTATTTCTACATTTATACAAGAGAAAAATTGTCAAACCCCTCAAATTTGCAGAAGAGTCAGAAAAAAAAAAAAAAAACCCC